CTCCGTGAGCAAACGAGCACCGAATCAGCCGCAAGACTAAATTGAAAAAGCGAAAGAAAACAGAAGCATATAAATGCATAAGCAGCAAACAATAGGGAGAGAATGTGGGGCTCTTGCTGCATCAGCTGCTGCCCCCAAGCGCTTCTGCTGCCGCCACAACGGCTCTGCTGCTGCCGCTGCAGCAGCAGTAGGTGCACAGCGGCAGTGCTGCCACTCTATGGGGCTACTTGCTGCTAGCTGCAAGGTTTGTGTGTGACTCGTTTGCTCCTGCTGCTGCTGCTACTTCTGCGGTTTGCTGCTGCATTCAGGCGGAAGTGCTGCGCGTGGTGGATGTCAAGCTTTCAAATATTCTTGTCTTCGCTGCTGAGGCCGATGCAGCAAGACCCCTGAAGTGGCTCATTTGCCTCGCGGACTTCGGCTCAGCTATCATCAACAACCCGCAGGACCACCTTCGGTCAGCAGCTAGAACGCTGCTGCTGACGGTGTTCCTGCTGCTGCTGCTACTGGTGCTGCTGCGTTCATGGCGCTCACGGCGTGTGTGCCACGGCAGCAAATGCAGCTGCTATTACTGGTACTAATGCTGTTGTTGCTGCTTCTAGCGGCGGCGGTCCTTGTGCCGTTGGTGACAGTTGTGTCGCTGCTGCTGCTGCTGCTGCTGTTTTGCAGGGCATCTACGCCTTGGAAGGGGGGCCAGGAGGAAAAGCGCACTGTGTGGGAGCAGCAGGTGAGTACACAGTCTTGCTGCTTCCAACACCAGCTGCAGCTGCAGCAGGAGCACAAGCAGTATCTGTGGAGAAGCAATAGTAGCAGCAGCAGCAACGACAAAGCGAAAGGCCAGTTTTATGGCGACGACATGGATATGCTGCACTGACTCATCTGCTGCTGCTGCGGCTGTCGCTGCTGTTGCTGCTGCTGCAGGTTCGGCAGCAGCTGGTGTCTTTAAACCAAGGCACACTCTATTCCAACCCCCCCGAAGTGCTGCGCGTAGATGAAAGGGGCTTGTTGCGGCAGCAACAAGACCCTGACAGGGTTCTTGGCTTTTGCAGCAAGCGCCTGCTGCTGCGTTCATCCTCTGTTGCTGCTCCTCTAAGCAGGGATCGGCCCATGGTTTCGAAACCAGCGCATGTTTCAACAAAAGCCGGGACAGCAGCAGCAGCAGCAGTTCCAGCTGCTCCTGCTGCTGCCCCCGTGGCTAACGCTCAGTCTCCATTGCATGAAACTGCGGCAGCTGCTCCTGATGCTTCTGCTGCCGCGCCCAGCAGAGCAGATAACGACTTGGCTTCTCGAAAGGCCTCTGTTTTAAGCAGGGCTAGCAGCGGCAACAGCTGTAGCCGCAGCAGCAGCAGCAGCAGCAGCACTAACAATAAAATCCGAAGCCACAGTAAGGGCGCTGACGCAGAAACGCGCATGCATGCGCAGCTGTGTGACGTCTGGGGCTTTGGAATTGCTATTTGCGAGCTCGTTAAGGGAGGCGGCTGCTGCTGCCCTAGCGGCAGCAGCAGCAACAGCAGGTGTCCATGCCGAACAGCAGAAGGCTCTCTCCGGTTCGCAGAGGAGGAGATGCAGGCGCGCCGCATTCTCGCTGAGCTTAGGGCCTCTGAGATGCGAAAGGCAGCAGCAGCAGCCGCAGCAAGAGCAGCAGCGAGAGCAGCAGCAGCAGCATCAAAAGCGGAAACAGCGGCAGGGAGAGACCCAGAACCTGAAGCAGCGGCAGGGGAACCTGCAGCTGTCGCACCAGAAGCAGCAGCGGATGCAGCCAGAGGTGCTGCCGCTTCACCATATGATAGTGCTGCTGCTGCTGCCGGTGCTGCTGCTGCTATCCTAGCCAAAAGGGGAAGGACGCGTGTGCCTACTGCTGTAGATCGGCGAGAGACACGCGGCTCCTCTCAGCGTCTTGCTGCTGCTTCTGCTGCTGCTGCTTCTGCTGCTGGTGCTGCTCCTGCTTCAGAAGCTACTAGAAAGAAAAGCTTTGCGAACGCTGTTGAGGCAGCTGTGGGGCCTGCTGCGTCTGTGACAAGCGCGTCCCCAGTAGCAGCAGCAGCAGCAGCACCATTCGCAGCAACAGCAGCTCAACGAGCTGCCACTGGGCAGAAACCAGAAGCGAAAGGCAAGGCAAGGGAACAGCGGGAGGAAGGCCCCAAGGGCAGTTCAATGCCGGCAGCAGCAGCAGCAGCAGGCGCAGGCGCTCCCGGAGACTTTGCGGAAGCCGAGGACGACATCGGTGCATGTAGTGGCAGCAGCAGCACAAGCAACAGGTACAGCAGCAAACTGTGTCTGCCCGCCTGTATTATGCAGTGGGTGGCAGAGAACGAGGCGATTAGTTTGTATTGGGCTGCTGTTCATGAGCTGCTGGCCCATGTCGGCTTGGGGCTGTTTCAAGTGCCACGGCAGCAGCAGCAGAAGCAGCAGCAGCGCCAGAAAGAGCAACCGCAAGAGCAGCAGGCTCTGTCGGAGCAGCAGCAGCCGCAGCGGCAGCAGCAGCCGCAGCAGCAAAAGCACCAGCAGGAACAGTGGCAGGAACAGCAGCGCCAGCAGCAGCAGCATGGGGAAGTGCAGCAGCAACAGAAGCATGGACCTCCAGCAGCTAGGAAGATTCCATCTGATGAGACACTGCCAAGAGCACTGACTGATCCTGCGTCTTCCTCTCAGCAGCAGCAGCAGGAGCAGGAGGAGCAGCAGCAACAGCATCCGAAGTGCGAAGGGCCTGTGTGGCGGCAGCTGCGTGCTGCAAATGCTGAGCAGCAGGAGCAGCAGCTTGCTGCTCTTGAAGAAGCCTGGGCGCCTGTGTGGGGCCTGCGGGGAGGGGAAGCTGGGGTTTACGCGCAGTTTGACAGCAAATATTTACGGCGTCTTGTCCTCAGCCTTCTTCTTGTCCGTCAGACTCACAACATGTGCTCAGGGGGGTAAGTCGCTGCTGCTGCTGCTGCTGCTGCTACAGTGAAAGAGGTGCAGGGCAAGGGCTGCTGCAAAGAGGCGCGAAAGCGCGGCACGTGAGTTGATCTGGGTGCGTTTGTTCTGCCTTGTGTCTGCTGCTGCTGCTGCAGCGCGACGGCGCGTGCTGCTGCGTTGCAGCGGCAGCAGCAACTGCAACAGCACAGCCGCTGCAGCAGCAACTTTTGGTGCCTCCTATCCCACCTCCTGGCCTTCGATCCGCAGCAGCGCCTTCTGCTTCCTGAAGCTCTCGGGCATCCCTGGTTCTACCCAGATGAGGAGGAGCAGCAGCAAGAGCAGCAGCAGCAGCAAAAACACCCGATTTCAGGGAAAGATAGGATGGCGCAGCATGCTGCCGCAGCAGCAGCAGCAGCTGTTGCAGCGGCACAAGACGTCGTAAACACGGGCCCGCTCTTCGCCCCAGCCGATGCCGAAGCTGGCCGACCCGGCAGCGGCAGCACCAAAAGCAGCAGCAGCAGCAACAGCAGCAGCAATGTGTTTGATCTCATTGACTCTTTGCCGGGATATTTGTCTTTCCATCTTGAAGCGGAGCACGACAGCAGCAGGCCCCTGCGCCTCAGGTACAATGCACCTCCCAAAGGACCGTTGCCGCTGCAGCAGCAGCACCAGCATTTGCAGCAGCAGCTGCAGCAGCAAACAAAAAGCAGCCAAGCCGTCCCTTCCGCCAACCAACTGGCAGGGACTCCCGCTACAGCGGAAACCGCGGCAGCAGGTGCAGACCAAATGGAAGCCACACCAACAGCAGCAGCAACGGCAGCAGCAAAAGCAGTCGCGCCAGCAGCAGCAGCAGCAGCCGGGCCAGGCCTTTGCGGGTTCTATGGAAATGTGCAGCGAAGGCCTCACGCTTGGTTCTGCGGGGCACTTTTCGGCATGCAGCAGCAGGAGCTGGAGCAGCTGCAGCAGCTCAGAGACGCGCAGCCGCAGCAGGAGCCGCAGGAGGAGTCGCGGCAACAGCAAATGCAGCTGGAAGACAATGACCAGCAACACGGGCAGCAAAAGACTACGAGTCAGCAACAACAGCAGCAGAATGGGGAGTTCGGCTACGAAAAGGAAAACCAAAAGCTGCTTGAGGTTGGTGCTTCTATTGAGTCTTCTCAGCTGCCGCCGCAGCAGCAGCCGCAGCAGCAGCCGCAGCAGGCGCCGTGTAGCCGTACTGGCAGCAACAACGGAAGCAGCTGCTCTAACAGCAGCAGCGAGGAGGAAGACGTACCCCCTTGGTCCGCCGCCCTTGTCCCTGCTTCCGTGCTGTCGGTAGCACAGCAGGAAGCAGCAGTGCTGCAGCAGGTGGAAGGCAGCATCTACGGTGGGCGGGGTCTGCTGCTGCGGCTGCTGCTGGCCATAAAGCAGCAACGGCAGCTGAGCTGGAGGCAGTGCTGCTCCTCTGCTGCTGCACACTACGTGGGCCGCCTGCTGCTGCGGTGGAGAGCAGTCAAGAGGAAACGCAGCAAAGCAGCAGCAGCTGCGGCCGCAGCTGCTGCTCTGAAGCAGCAGCAGCAGCGGGAGCACATTAAGGGCAGCCACAGCAGCACTGCCAGCAGAACCAGCCGGCCTAAGAGGCCTTGGGATGCAGCCGATGCCCCCAGCTGCGTCTCGCCGCTTCAGCGCAGCAGCAGCAGCAGCGCTGCACTATCTAGTGCTGCAGCAGCAGCAGGAAAAAGGCAGCGCACTGATGATGCTGCAGCAGGAACCCATCCGTCACAGTCGCCTCACTGTTAATGCTATAGCTGCTGCTGTAGCAGTTACACTTGCTGCTGCAGGAGCCGCACTGGCTTCTGCAGCAGCGGAGGCAGCGAAGCCATCCGTGTTTGTTTCCACGCCGTCTGCTGGAGCAACCAGGCAGCCAACTGCTGTTGCAACAGCAGCCACACGCTGCAGCAGCAAAAGCAGCAGCTGGACTTGCCGGAGCAACAGTAGCTGCGGCAGCTGCTGCAGCCGACCTGGCAGCAGCAAGCGCGGCGCTTGGCGCTGCAGCCCATGTGGCAGCAGCAGGTGCTTGAGCAGGCAGCTGTTTGTATCATAGGTTTTGACCTTGGCTCTACGTGCTGCGCCTCTGGGCTTGCTACTTTTGCTGCTGCTGCTGCTGCTGTTCCCTGTGTTAGCTCTGTGGACTCGGGCTGCATGCAGGGAATGCATGCAGCTGCTGCGTCAGCTTGTTGTCTGTGTCTTGCGGCTTTGCGTGGTTGGCGCTGCTGCTGCGTCAGCAGCAGCTGCGGCCGTTTTCTTGCAGCAGCAGCAAGTTGCTGCTTCTGCTGCACAGTTGCTGCATTCTATCAAGCGCGCCTCTGCTGTTCTGCCCCTGAAGGAGCTGTTGCTGCTCCCGTCGCGGCTGCTGCTGCGCCTTTGCTGCGTCATCTGTCTGCAGCAACAGCAGCAGCAGCAGCAACGTTCCTGTTTACCTGCATGCGCGCTGCAGCAGGAAAATCGCAGCAGCAACAGCCCCGACAATGAAATACTTCCTTGTTGCTCTCGTTTCCTCCCGTCTCCTCACTGCTGCTGTTTGGTTTCGGTGCCTTCCTGCTGCTGTGGAGGCTGCTGTTGCAGCTTCTGCTGCAGTTACTGTTGCTGCTGCTGCTTCCTCATGCAGCGACAAATTTGCCGCCAGCAGCGCACACAAGGACTCCGCTTGGCGGCAGGTGTGTTCTATTGCAGCAAGCTCACTGTCTGCTGCTGTCATTGCTGCTGCTTCTGTTGTTGCTGCTGTCGTTGCTGCTGTTGTTGCTGCCGTTGCTAGTCCCTGCTGCCACTCAGGTAGAACGCGTGCTTCCCGCTGCTGCTGCTGCCGTTTCTGCTGCTGCTCTTGCCCAGCAGCACCAAAGGGCCAATACCTTACACTACTGCAACCCCAACTGCTGCTTGGAGACGCTGCTGCTGCTTCTGCAGCAGCTGGCGAGTTAGTTGCAGCAGCAGGAATGGGATGCTGCAGGGTTCCTCGGGTGCTGCTGCCCAACGTTTGGGGCGTGCATGTCCCCTGCTCATGGTTCTGCTGCTGCTGAATCAGCAACTGCTGCTGCTGCTGCTGCTGCTGGTGCCTTGTGACGGGCGGAGAGTCAATGCCCCAGGCCGCCTGCAGTAAAGAGCGGCCACCCATTAGGGACGCTTGCTGCTGCAGCTGCTGCTGTTGCTGGCGTTGCTGCTTTTGCTGCTGCAGCATGAAGATACTCAGCGGCAGGGACGCAGTGTTGAAAGAGAGCAGCAACTGGTGCATGCGCTCCCTCAGGAGAGTGGTCACTGCTGCATTGTAGCTGCTGCTGCTGCATTTGCTGCTGCGGGCTTCCTGCTTCGCCTCCTGGTGCTGCTGCTGCAGCTGCAGCAGCAGAGACTTTGCAGCAGCAGGAGGGAAAGCCGCGGCTGTAACTGCGGTGTACAGCCACCTGTCACCATATTCGGATTGTTCAAAGGCAACGCTGTTATTGTTGTTGCTGCTCCTGCTGCTGCTGCTGCGGAGAGGGGGCCGCAGGATGGAAAGACGCCAGGCGCCTCCGTAGGGCCAGTGGTCAGTGAGCTCTGCAGTTCCCGATTCCTGCAGAAGCAGCTGCAGCAGCACACCACAAGCAATAGCAGCACATCAAAGAAAAGCAGCAGCAGCAGCACATGAAATAGCGGCAGCAGTAGGCAGCTGCGGTAGCAATACTAGGTCGCAGCAACACATGCAGCACTATAATCTTCTGCGTCGCCTGCAGCACGTACCCGCTGAAGAGCTCTTGCTGCAGCAACAGCAGCACTGTCTGCTGCAGCAGCAGCTGCCGTTGCAGCTTCTGATAGCTCAGGAGCAGCAGCACGCAGCCACACCCAAGGGCCACAGGGGTCCTCTAGAGAAATGATAGAGACATACACAGCTGCTGCAGTGCCCATTACTTCCATAGGCTTTGGACTTTAGTGTTTAGGGCTTCTGGCCAGTGGGGCCCCCATGATGCCGCGGGAGAGCGGCAGCAGCAGCATGTGCTGCAGCTGGAGCAGCAGCATATGTCTTCGCTGGTTCCTCCTCCTGTTTCCCTATTTCCTTCTTTCTTTTTTCTATTAGAGCTAAGTTTCACTTGGAAAGCTATCTCACAGCGGCTCTTTTTTTTCTTTTGCAGCTTTACTGCTTCCGGTGCTGCACAAAATCTCCGGGGGCCCCCAGGGGCCCCTGTGGGCCCCAGGTAGCCTCTGAGGCTTCCTGGGGGCCCCCACAAAGCCAGATGGGCTTAATAGAGACCTGACGAGGTCTTCGGCTCATTAAGTTGAGCAGATACGAAACATAATCTAAAGTACAAACACGGGAAACGGTATGCATTGAATAGGGGGCTTTGCTGCTGCTGCTTCTGCCCTCACTCAAGAGCAACTGCTCTCAGAGCAGCAACAGCAGCAGCGCCACAGACTAAACCGCTTCAACTCGAAGCAAAAGGCCCCCTGCGCCTGCACAGCGCAGCCGCGGCACTAACAGCGGCAGCTGCTTCCGCTTCGCCGCAGCAAAGCGAAAAACTGGGGAGCAACCATGTGCAGCAGCAGCAGCGGCAGCAGCAGATTCATAACTAGCAGCAGAGGCGCCATTAGGCCTATTCTGTGAAGGGTCTGCAGAGGCAGATTCACTGTCTTATGAGCAAGATGTCTCGGAAACAGCAGCAGCAGCAGCAGCAGCCGCAGCCGCAGCGGGGTCCCCAGCAGCAACAGCAGCTGGAGACCATTGGCCGCAGCAGAGCACAGCAGAAGAAATTTGTCCAGTTTAAGGCATCTCTTTTCTCGCCCTACATTGCGCCCTGGTGTGCTGCTGCTGCTGCTGCTGCTGCTGTTTCGCTGCTGTTGCTGCTGCAGCTCCTGTCTTAGTCCGCAGTTGTTGCGGTGGGGATTAATTGTTTGCCGCCGCATCCAGTCCCGTAGGCGGCTTAAGCTGCAAGAGATTTGAGAGCAGCAGGACCTGGCCACTAAGTGTGTTTTGCTGCTGCTGCTGCTGCTGCTCTTTTTCTGCAGGCCGCGGGCCCTAGAGAGCGCTGAAGAAGAAGTGGTGGCTCTGCTGGAGGGGTAGGGCGTTTTGTCTGTTTGCTTCTGTCTTTGTGATTTACTGCATCACCTTTCTCTGCTGTTGCTGCTTCGAGCTGCTTGAATCTTTATTCCTCTCTGCAGATTTTGCTGTTGCTGCTGCTGTTGCTGTTGCGGCAGCGGCTGCTAGTCGCGTAGCCGCTGCAACCATCGTGCTGCTGCTGCTGCTGCTGCAGGCTTTGCAATGCTGCAGCAGCAGCGGGCATAAGGCTAAGAGCAGCAGCAGCTATTGGGTTCAACGCATGTGCTGCCATTTTAGAGCAGCAAGCTGCTGCTGCAGCACGAGCGGCAGCAGTAGCACCAGGACTTGCTGCTGCGCACGCAGCAGCTCCTGCTGCCCAGCAACAGGAAGAGAAAGCAGAAGCAACAAGTGAAGCAGCAGCTGCTGCAGCACCTTGCGACAGAGGACCAGCATCCACTGCAGCAGCAGCAGCAGCGGCAGGAACAGCAGCAGAGGCACCCGCTGCAGCAGCTGCAACATGCAACATTGCTGCTCTAATTTGTGTTTGCTG